GCTGAGGGCTAATATATTTTGATCCAGAGGGAAGAGGCACAAATAGTCTTGGCAATACCACTCACTCATTTGCTCAAATGTCTAGAGGATTTCCCCCATTTTGTTCATTTCATATCCACTTCATTACCAAGTCTACTGGCTTCTTTCTAGAGCAGGTACCACATCTGGTCTTCTTCACCATGAGCTGCCTAATCTGCTCTCCACCACTTCTTGCCCAGGTGAAGAATACGGCTTCTTGCCAAGTCTCTTGGATCATAGTTTCTTGCTTTCAAAGCCAAGTATCACACAGCAGTCAAAGGAACACCTATCTCCTTACCAGGCTTACAAGGGTGTTTCTGGGCCATCATGTTAGATCTCACCTCCTCACTCAGCACTAGTCACCCTAGAGTAGCTTCCACTATAAAATCCCTGAAAGACATCCCAGTTGCTTCCCCTGGAATGCTCTGGCCCTAATATTTCCTTCACCTCGCTACCATTTTCACCTCAGCTTTAACTGTTTGTGTGCCTGGACAGGGGATGAAGTTGGACAAGAAAAGCGATTTCCTTCCTCTCCTGATGGTGGTGACTCAGTCAGTGCTACTCCTTTCTTTTCTTCACAGCAAATGTCATTCTTTCTTGTTTCTTCTCCTGATGAGTGCCTCCTGGTCTGTGACCACGAGGACACAGGTTTCAGTGAGTAATTCACGTTGTATCGCCTGCTTTGTAACACCTTCACCCTCCAGGGCCAGCTTCCACTGCTCTCATTAATTCCACAAAAATCACTATTTATGTTTCTCTGAAAAATGTCCAAGAGCTTCATTTGTAGTTACAGTCATGTGCTGCTTAATCCTGAAAATAAATTCTGAGGGATACGTTGTAAGATGATTTTGTAGTTGTTTTCTTTAAAGATTTATTTATTTATTTATTTATTTATTTTTTATTGGAAAGGCGGATATACAGAGAGGAGAGTCAGAGAGGAAGATCTTCCATCCGATGATTCACTCCCCAAGTGAGCGCAACGGCCGATACTATGCCGATTGGAAGCCAGGAGCCTCTTCCGGGTCTCCCGCACAGGTGCAGGGTCCCAAAGCTTTGGGCAGTCCTCGACTGCTTTCCCGGGCCACAGGCAGGGAGCTGGAAGGGAAGCGGGGCTGCCAGGATAGAACCGGCGCCCATATGGGATCCCGGGCATGCAAGGCGAGGACCTTAACCACTGCGCCACCACTGCGCCACCACACCGGGCCCTGATTTTGTAGTTGTATGAACATTATAGATTGCAATTACGCAAACTAAGAGAGGCACATCACCAGGCACTGGTGTTATAATGTAAAGGAATGACCATCATGTATGTGATCTGTTATGGGTGTAGGTGCCATGTGACTCACAGCTGTGTGGATGTGTGGGTGGAGGATGCCATGTAATAACAAAGTCATCAGTCTTGCAGGAAAAAGAGCTGTGAATCCAGGTCTTGGTGCCCTGAAAGAGTTTTTATGGGTCCAACTCTTGGGAAAAAAAATTGCAGGTTTATTTTTGATTCTTGGGCTGATATAATTATTTCACTTAAATAACTATCCTGAGATATGGACATAGATAATGAAATCATTTTACAGTAAATGTACAGTTCCTTTACTGTACTAGTTTCTTATCAGAGTTGCATAGTTATGTTATACCAACATTGAACTTTTTTGGTATTTTAATTTAACTTTCAGGTTTTCTAAAAATTATCTGTTTGAAATTTAGAGAGACAAAGATAAACAGATGAGAGACATATAAAAAGAGAGCGAGAAAGAACTCTTATGAAGGATATAGTATTTTAAATGCCTTTTTTATTTTTGTATAACTTATCATCCTTCTAATGTTTGTAGGTATAGATTTAATTTCATTTTTTTCTGGCTTGAGACCTATTGAGACACCTGAACTTTAGAAATCTTGTGTTTCCTTTACTCTAAAAACTTATATGAGTCATTTCTTGAGATATTTTCCTCAAAATTTTATTTTTCTGTCTTAGATGTCTCATTCAAAACTTACTGGATCTTATCTCTTTTATTTCCAGGCTCTCAACTTTGCAAAATCATTCATCATCATCTCACTCAGGTTTATTTTGCATGATTACTTAGCTCTACCTTCTATTTTATTAGCTCTTTCATTATCCATGGCTAAATATTTAGTCTCAAATTAGAATGTACAATTTTCCCCTGTATTTCAATTAGTCTTTCTTCTATATTTACTTATTTATTGCCACTTTCTTTGTGGATCAGTCATTTTTAAGCTCACTTATACAATGTCTATATTCCTATTTGGGGGAATTCTCAATAGCCAAATCATGTCATATGTTGATGCTGGAGAGTAGCAGTGGATGGATATCTCTGAGTGTTTATAGTGGATCTTGAGCTCAGATTTAGGGGAGCAGTAATTATGTGTGATCTATGTTGATTACATCACTTGAAGTTTGATTCTTTAGTTAGTGTTTCAGGCAAAAATGAGTTTTCCAGGAGAGACAGCATGAATTCTCACACTCAAATACCCCATATAATGTAGTTATGGATTTCTGAATTTTGGTGGAGGCTCTTTATATATTCACATTAGAGATCATGACCAAATAGAGAGGTATCACTATCTCCCTGTTGTAGTGGGCAGAACCTCTATGTTCTGACACACTCCAGGCTTCCAAAGCTGTATTAGGATCTCCTTCCTGTCATGGGCCTAAAGCTTCATCCTTGACATACTCACAACACTAGATATCATCCAGTTTCCTAATTGTCTCAGTACCCTGGGATGGGGAACAACTACCCGGAGTCATCCTCATGTCCCCAAGGTGGAGCATGCTCCAAGAACCATGTTCTGCTTAAATGGTTTTGATAAATCTGACATGCTGTTGGTCTCACAGATTCAAGGATGAGGATATCCTTCCAAGGTGCGTTGGCTGACATAGTCCACCTAGTCTCCATCTGCAGAGTATTTGCTATCAATGCTTGGCTGGGGTAGTTGACTAATTTGTTCTGCCCTCCTCCTCCTCTCCTATGGTACCAGATGTCATCTGTAGGCTCCAATGGTCTGCCATATCCTCCAGGTGCATCCAGGTATGCAATCCACTGCTCCTTCCCAGCCACTGAGGGGGCCCAATTCTGACACATGCACTCCATGGTCAGACCACACATCCTGCAATTCTCATGGTTGGAGTTCTGAGTCCAGCAATTTAGTTGGAGGAATCCCTAAAGAAACCTTGTCTGAAATGATCCCAGATCTGACTCTTGTGTGTGCCTGCCAGCATGGAATCCAGGTCTGTTAGTCAGCCACATCTGCCTATGGATACATTGGTAGTTGCAATCACTGGGTTAGTTCTGTCTTTAGATCCATCTCTTATGTTACTCAATGGATGTGTGGCTCAGTGCAATCCTGCTTACCACACAGTTGGCCCTCATGTATACCAGCAGAACCGCTACTTGGAGCGACTCCCAATAACACCCTCTAGGCCTGCCCCCAGCCTTTTTTTTTTTTTTGTGCTTGCCAGTATATTCAGTGGACTGGTCCAGCCAGTGCCATATCCCATTCAGCTTTCATACACATCATTAGGCATTGAAGCTTAGCTTAACCAACCGACTCCAGCCTCCAGCCTTCACTCATGCCAGTGGGATCCATTGTGTATCTAGCCAGGTCTGCCCTCACCCCTGGTTCTCTTGCTCATCAATTGGTGCTACAGCACATCAGAGAAGTGCTCACACTTTCCCTACTGGACCCATTTGCTACCCCAGATCTTGCACTCTCCAGGTGGTTCTACAGTCTAGTTCGACAGGATTTGCCCCAATCCAGCAGTTGCCAGCTGATACTTTGGCAAAGCCCAAGCAATCTGCACTTACTCTGACCAATGCATGCCCCAGTGGGTACGGTCAGTTAGCCCAGCCTGCCTCTCCCCATAAACCAGCTCACGTGCAAGCCAATAGGTATTGTAATCCTGACCAGTCTGTTCTGCCCCCAGTCCCAGTTTTCACACTTGCCAGTGGAACAGTATTCCAGCAGGGGAGCCTGCGCTGCCTCCCTACTAAGCTTGATTCTATGCCTTCCCCTAGTCTCACATGTGCTGATGGTGTTACGGCCCAGACTGGCAGGCCTGCCTCACTTCTGCATTTGTTGGTGGGTGCAGTAGCCTGGCCTGTTCTTCCCCTAATTCCAGGATCTTGCTGGTGGCATGTCTCTTCTTTTCAACATTCATGGAGGTATCTGTCACTCTCTTTGGGTTGAAAGAATATTTGCAATATATTAAATGATATAATTAGGTGTTTATAAAGACAGTTTTATATGTTATTTATTGGAGAATTCTCAAAATTTCAATTTAGGTTATCAAATTTTTATACTCAACTGATACAAATACCATTTGCTGACAAGGAAACACAGAAATAGGAAGTTCTATAGTTTGTAAAGGCAATGCATACCAGATACCTCATTTTGGAGAAACATGTACTATGACACAAAGTAACAGTGCCTTTTCTTAGGCCACAAAATTCATCAGTTGGATTTCCTGAACCCTAATATAGCATTTTCTCCAACAAACAGCATTTGCTTTGGATTCTTGGAAACAAGGATCTGGGCCTGGTGTGATAGCCTAGTGGCTAATGTCCTCGTCTTGAATGTGCCAGGATCTCATATGGGCGCAGATTCTAATCCCATCAGCCCTACTTCCTACCTACTTGTAGCCCAGGAAAACAGTTGAGGACAGCCCAAAGCCTTGGGACCCTGCACCCACGTGGGAGGCCTGGAAGGCGCTCCGGGCTCCTGGCTTCAAATTGGCTCAGCTCTGGCCATTGTAGCCGCTTCAGGAGTGAAAAATCAGATGGAAGATCTTTCCTCTGTTTCTCCTCCTCTCTATATATCTGCCTTTCCAATAAAAATTGATAAATTAAAAAAATAAAGAAAGAAGGATCTGGCAAATGTCCTGTGAATAAAGGGCCTTTGTGTTTGCTTTTGTATTCTTTAAGTTCTCATTCCAGTAGGTAAATGTCAGTCCCTGGGAAGAGAGAACCAAAATGTGTCCTGAAGCAGATGCCAAGACCACTGTGGGGGATAGTTCTCATGACAACAGTTCAGTCGGAACTCAAGCAAAGCCTCCCAGAAAAGGTAAAGTTGTGCAGAAGAAGCTTGTTGTGATCAACACCTCCTTGTCCTTTACTTGTTGCTGTTGCTATAGAGCTTCCTTCTTACTGTTGACTATCCTATTAAATTTCTGTTCATGTTAAACCCAACCTGCCTCTGAGCAGGGTATTTTTTCTACAATAGCACAAAACTTGCCCTTCCTCCTTCTTATCTATGTCAGAATTTATTTATTGTCTAGTTTAAATCGTAGAAAAGTACAGAAGGATTTATTTTACCCTATATCATTAGTGATTTCAACTACACTGTTCATTAATTCTTTTTAGGATCTAGGCTTTTTAAAGTATGATACCTTTAGAAAGTGAAACACTCACCAAGATAGAGAGCTTTGAAATAATTAATATTTCATCCAGTGTCTCTGTTGGGAACTAGCATATTCCTGAGAAGTACTTTCCTAGTCTCATTCACCAAAGCTGAAATCAGAGAACATGTAAGCTATATGCATTTTACAATGAACCACCTGAAGACCTACAATGAAAATGATTATAATTACCTCAGCTCCCAGTTTTATTGCTAAAAATCTCAGAGGCTGTTTTCTATACCTGTTTTCTCATCTTTAAAAATAGGAAGCTAGAAATGTAGGATTAATTACCTAAAAGTAGTAGTTACTGGTACCATTAAGTGAGGTGAAATACAAATGCCTAGGACAATTACACATAGTAAACACCCTGTAAACATTAGCTATTATTCTCTTGGTACCACTCATGCCGTAACTAACATCCTATTGGTCTTCCATCTTCTTGGAATACTCATTTACATTTGATCTAAAATGGGACTTCTAGGTGGTCTTTCTGGTTTCTTCCACTGCTTTGTAGACAATTCCCAACCATCTATTCAGTTCTCTGGAAACCACCTTAGAAGCTTCAGCTCAATTAGGCAATGCCTTTGTAAACCATTTTAATTAAACCTATTGTTAAAAATGGTACCAAGTTAAAAAAAATCATTCATTTTTGGCAAAATATCATTCCTTCTGATAAGATAGTACACTGGTGCTCCTCAAAGTGTTAGCAGATTATTTTGTTGCAACTCCAATTTTATGTACAGGTACATAGGAATATGTCTTACTGACTGTCTCGTTCATTAGCATCCAAATCATTATTCTTCTCATGTCTCTCTGGCTCATCATGCTCACTATGTGTGGAGACGTTGTCCACATCAGAACTCTAAAGTGCTGCTGGGGATTTCTCAGGGTCCCAGTGGCCCCAAAGGTTACTGACTTCTCAATACTCCTATTCCCAAGACAGAGAGAGCTCAATCCAGGTGTTCTACTGAATGTGGGAAAATGAACCATTCCTCATTATATTGAGTCACCTGTTTGCATCATGGTAATACTTATACCAGTATATTCCAGAGATGCTGAGTGAGCATAACTGAGCCTTTGGTTTTTATAAAAGGACAGTGAGACTATTTTGATATAGGACCAATTAAGAATTTATGAGGATGATACTCTTTCTCCCTTATGCCCAGCAGCATCTGTGCCTGACTTCAACCCAAAAAGTTGCTGTAGGCATTTCAACAAGGGTGACAAAGGAAGAACAACAAAGAAGATAAAGTCACACATGATTGGCCGACTGGCTCTTACAGTTCAAGGCTTTATGAGGAGACCGCAAATGGCCTATACGAATATTCACAGAGTAAAATTAAAGGGAAGGCATGATTGAGTTAGACAAAAAAAAACCCAAACAAACAAACAAACAAACAAAAACAAAAAAAAGAGCTCCAGGAGCACACTTACACAGATACAGTGGCTGCTGCATAACCACTGCCTGCTGTATGACAGGCATTGCTTGCATTTTGTATATAGTAATCCATAGGATATTCAAAGCATATCTTCAAGGAAGACACTGCCAGCCTTATCCCTGTTTCCAAGCAGCCAGACCTCAGATAGAAAAGAGTTGTGTAATTCATCTAAGTCATCCAGGCACACAGGCAGCCTCAGAGCTGTATCCAGAGCCCTCCAACTGTTAGCCCTTTCAGGACATTGCTGTGTTCATTTTATTGTAGTGTACTGAAAGATTTTATCTCCAATTTCTAAAGTTTCTCAACAACAGCAACAGTAATATGAAAGCTCAGAGTGTATGAAACAAATCAACAGGGAAAAGGAAGATCCTTGTTTATATATAGATGAGGAAGGAACAAAGACAGGAGTAAATGCCACCACAGAATCAAAGTTGGAGTTGATAACAGCAAGGGGCGAAAGTGTTACTACAAAGTCAAATCAGGGACTTGGAGCCAAATCTGGAAAAAGTCATGGAAAATTAAGAAGATTAAATAAAATGGGAATGAAAAGATTACACAGGAGTAAATAAAAACTGGTTAGTTTGTATCCAATTTTATGATAAATGAGGAGCATAAAGTAGACAGTTTAAATGTAGAAAATTGTGAACTCAAATCATGAAAGAAACAACAAGAGGTTGTTCTTTAATAAAGAAGATGTTTTTCATGTCAATAAAGCAATGTAGTACTCAGTTTAGTCAGGCAGAGATTAAATAATAATGATTTTGACAAAAAATACGTTAAGATATTTTAAAAGTATGTTAACTATCAGAAAATGATTTTCTAGAAATTATAGCTCATAATCACAGAACTCAGCTAAATAATTTAACACAATTTAATCATAAATTGATGATTAAGTGTACGGTAATGATTTGATTATTAATATAGTTTTCTAGAAATTACAAGCATATAATTTCCAAATTTTACTAAAGAAAACTAAGTTTTTTTGTATCTGAACTCATGTAAGAAATGAAAGTTGTTGAAAAGCTACCCTTTCCACTTTCCACAGAGAGACAACATATGCTAGTAAAGTAATGAGGAAAGTTTCATGAAAAATTTCAGGAATAAACAATGCCTATGTAACTGATGCACAACAATTTCAAGTGATTTATGCATACAAATATTCCACCTTAAGATTTGTCTGAGAAGAAAGCACAAGATCTTATACAAAATGCCTGTCTGTCCTCTTAAAAAATTGTCATGGTCATTAAGGGAAGTCTGAAAAACTGAGGCAAGAGGAGCCAATGATGTAGCCAGTAATGTAATATGTAATATGACGCCGGTAGGGGGTTTTGGTACAGGAAAAAAAAAAAGACACTAAAACGAAGTTAAGCATAATATGTCAATGTATTTAAGAATTCAATAAATCTCTGCTTAAAATTGTTCTAAATTATTAAGAGAAAAGGAAATCATAATCTATCTAACAATTGTAGATCAGACATTGAGATCTAATGGCTCTGGTTAGAAGTTTCAGTACAAGGAGGACAAAGTCACACGAAAAATGGCTAATTGGCACAAAGGTAACATGGCAAAACTAAATATATATATAACTATAGTTATGTATATAGTTATATGCACATAGATACACACAAACCACACATTAAGCTAATTGCATATGCATAAGGTTCTAGCTAAAGTCAGAGCAATGTAAGTCATGTTTTTTCATCGACAAAAAAACCCTTATAAGACATCATTCTAGGAATGCCATGAAAGTAAAATATCTTTAATAATTACTGCAATGAACTTGCATGAGCTGACTCAATTGTGCCTTGAGTTACAGGTCTTTCACCTGTTTTCCAGGAGAGAAACAGAGACACAGCTCTAAAAGACTTGACAAAAATGCTCAGCTGAAAATAAAGCAACTGGGACTGGAGTGCATGGAACAGATGGGCTGCAGGACTGAAATGCATCTGCAAAAGTCATGCATTTCCCCAAAAAGTTTTAAAATAGGAATAAGATAGTTCATTAAGTTAAGCATGTGTCATACTAACAGCCAGTAGAACACCTAATGGTATAACACAAGCGACATTTGCAGTAAATTCAAACAGGAGTGTCAAGCTCACCATTCTCATTTAGTATTGCTTTGAAAAGGATAAAATAAAAAAATGAAATAAATCTTGCAATGAAATAAATCCTGTAAATAGCAACAAAACCATTTTTATTACTTATACATACTTATTTTGAAATTATTGCAATTGTAGTTTTGAATTATTGCTACTAAAATATTGTTATTTGAAATCCATAGGGGAAAAATACACAGTTACAGAAACAACATAGATCCACTTTATTAAATTTGTTGGGATTTAACTAAAGATAATGATAAAATTTCACTCTGGGCAAACAAAAGTATGGAATATTTGAGTAGGCTAGGAGAAGACAACACTATATGTGTGTCAATCTACCTTACCATAATTTTCCATAGCAATATGGTATTAATCCTATTCCAGTATAAATTTTTGTGCATAGGTGCATGGACTCATAGAGTTAAATAGATATATGCCAAAAGTGAGGTAGGGACTTTCCATTACCAGACTCAGCAAGAACATCACTACACAGAATGGTGCAGTGCTGGCCCCACCAAGTGTGACTGAAGACAGTGACCACATACTACACATTAGTCTTCTTTTCTGCAGGGACAAGTGGTCAATCCCACCAGTTCTGTTGATAAGCCAATAAAATATGGCTTCTCAGTTAAAAAGATAGGCCAGAGCTCTGATGTACATGGGCATATGTTGTCCTCCTTAACTTGCAGGATTGTGACAAAGTTTAAATACTTTTACATCTAGCAATAGCCTATCTTTTAGCATTCATCTCCCTAAATCTCCAACAGGCTAATTTTCCATGTTTCCATATTATAGACCAATGCCATTTTGTGATATTCCAGCTGTTCAAGCAAAGCACCTGGAAACCTCATAGTTCTCTTTCTCCTGCTTTTTATAACTCACTAAGCCAAGGCTTTCTCTTCATCTACTTCTTCATATTCCCATTCTCATTAGTTCATTCCAAGGTTCTCCCTGGAAGCATTTCTTGTAATGTTTGCTCTGATGGGGTGTCCACGGTCTCCGTTGAGGAGTGTTTTGGAGGTGTGTGTGGGGGGAGGGTACTACCCAGCTCATATCCTCCCAAGGGGCGGGTCCACCAGACACACTGCTGTCCCTGTATTTCTGCCTCACACATGGACAGCAGTCTTCTCCAATTTCAAAACGTAGGTAGAGGAGGAATAAGCAACCTGATGTGAAAGCATTTTTGCTTCTTTGTCTCAGGGTTTTGGTCAGTCCGACATGGGCTGGCTTTCATGCTGCATATCTGTAATTTTTCAATGTACACCCAACAATTGCACCTGAACATTGCCATCACAGCCATGGTGAACCAGACAGCCCTGGAGAGCCAGCCCAATGCCTCTGTGGATGCCCAGGACGACTGGACTACAACTCAGGAAGAAGTCCAGGCAAGAGTAAGTTTAATGAGACATGGAGCCCTTTCTCTGACTCATAAGAATTTGACTTAAAGGATTGTTTTAGGGCCTGGTGTGATAGTGTAGCAGCTAGTCCTCGGCTTGAACATGCTGGGATTCCATATGGGTGACCGTTCTAATCCCAGCCTCCCTGCTTCCCATCCAGCTCCCTGCTGGTGGCCTGGGAATGCAGTCCAGGATGGCCCAAAGCAGGAAGAAGTTCCTGGCTCCTGGCTTCGGATTGGCTTAGCTCCAGCCATTGCAGCTGCTTGGGGAGTGAACCATCAGACGGAAAATCTTCCTTTCTGTCTCTCCTCTCCTCTATATATCTGCCTTTCCAATAAAAATAAATAAATCTTTTTAAAAAGGATTATTTTATCAAAGAGTGTGATTTTTTAATCAGTACATATTTATTAATCACAAATGAATGTATCAGGAGCAGTGATAGAACATGAAATATAATCATAGTTGAGTACAACCCGAGTTAGTGTCTGTGAGTATAACCAGGAACTACAAATGTTGGAAACAGGCTCTATGTGAACATAAATTTTGATTTCATGATGATGGAACTCATTCAGTCTTTTCCCCCCCGCCCCCATGGACAGGAAGCAGCCAGCTACTTGAGTTCTCACCTGGTACTTCCCAGGGTGCACAATAGCTGGGAGCTGGAATCAGGAATAGAGCATCCCCAATCCCATGCATTTCTATATGGGACACAGGTTATCACAAGACACCTTGTGGATACACCAAATATTCACCTCCCCCATTGATATATTCTTTTAACAAATACTCTTTATTTTATAGTCCTCATGTTTTAACTGGCTGGTTAATTGTGTCAGGCATTGAGAAAGATTAACATTAATCTTGTTTATTCTTTAAATGAAATTGATAGATTAGAAGAATCGAAGTAAAAGAAAACTGCCCTGCTCTCTTTTTCGCCTCTCAAGTTTTCACAAAGACAGCTCTCAACTTTGCAAGCAAAGACAGACAGTGTGATTTTTTGTTGTCTAGGTTCCTACATATGACTGGAATCCTGAAATCAAGGGCATCATCCTCAGCTCCCACAACTATGGCTCAATCTTCGCTCCACTTCCTGTTGGCTATGTGGCTGGAGTATTTGGAGCCAAGTACGTGGTTGGTGCTGGGTTGTTTCTTACCTCATTCCTGACCTTCTTCATTCCATTGTCAGCTGATGCTGGAGTGGCTGCGCTCATTGTCGTACGTGTTATTCAAGGCTTATCTCAGGTACCAAGATATTTTCCATGTGTAAATGAAATACAGGTTACAGAATGATTTCATATTTCTAAGAATGCAATATTCCCTTCCAGGATATGGTTTTGACAGGTCAGTATTCCATTTGGGTCCGATGGGCTCCCCCACTGGAAAGGAGTCAACTCATCAGCATTGCTACATCAGGTAATTGACCCCTCATCTCCACCTAATACACACAATCCTAGAGGATGCAGCAAAGGCCTATAAAAAGGACCAACATCTTCCATCCCAGTTAATTTTTCTTTATTGTGCTTGCTCTAATGTAGGAATGACTACTTTGTACTGGATAGTTTTGTGTTTACACATGATAATTTTATTTTATCTCAGAATAATTTTTTAATTCAGCAATATAAAACATTATTCCATTTTGAGACACAAATGGATTCATAACTTGTTTAAGATCGTATGCCTGAAAGAGCAGTGCACTGAAGCTCACACCTTCATTGATGGGCAGCTCAGTATTGTAAGAAGCATGCAATGTGCTAACACTGGCCCGCTCACTTTAATCCTTGCATCTTCTGTTCAGGAGCAATGCTGGGAAGCTTTCTAGTATACCTTGTGGGTGGTTTCATTTGCCAGAGCATAGGATGGCCTTACGTCTTCTATATCTTTGGTGAGTTTGTACATTTTTGCATCTCAGAATTTTGTTTTGCAATGTTTTGTTATGCATGTTGGACATAATTTCTGTGATTCAGCATATCTGTGGATAGCCGAATGGTAATAGATACAAGTGTCTATACTGCTTCTGTTGACAATGTTCAGAGCTGATCGTCTTCTGAGTTTGATGCATTGTAGAGTGGCATATAAGTTTTTAGAAGTTATGATATCGTTCTTCTTGCTTCCAAGTTGAAATGAAAAGATTCCAGGGAAATTATTCATAGAGGCTGGAAATCATGTCTTCCTGGAACTGTAGTGTTGGTCATTTTTATTTATTTAACACATCCTTTTAGCATATTCTGTGGCACTTGTATTCTACATATGCACCCATTAGATCTGTGTCACGCTATTTCCAATCTAGGTCCCTAAACGTGTGGCTGGGAAAACAGTAGAGGGTGACCCAAGTGCTTAGTCCCTTGTATCCATGTGGAAGACAGAAGAATCTTCTGGCTCCTGGTTTCAGACTGGCAAAGATTATTCTGTCTCTCCTCCCTCTGTAAATCTGCCTTTCCAATAAATATAGATCTTAAAAAATTAGCAAAATAGATGGCCTATAGTGACAGCTCCATAATGTATATGCATGAATCTATAAATAATAAGCTAGCCATATAAAGAGACCTTGTAAGTCTTTGTTAAGTATCTGAAAGTAATTTTAATGGTAGGTTTACTTACTTAATCGGAAGGTATATTCATAGACATAACAGGAGAGAAACATACATACAGAGAAAGGGAGGAAAGAGAGAGACAGAGACAGAGAGAATGAATTTTCATCTATTGGTTTCCTACTCACAATGGAGCCAGGATGAAGCCAATAGAACTTGAGCCTTTTTTTTTTCTGCCACATAGACACATTAACAGGGAGATGAATTGGATGAACAGATGGAATTTGAAACTGTGCTCAAATGGGATGTTGATGTCACATGTGGCAGTTCAACAAGCTGTGCCACAAAACTAGTCCTATAATAAGGAAATTGTGTCATATTTCCACTCAAAACTGATAATGTTGAATTCCTCAACGCTGTAATAATGCATAAGAGAAAATTTCTTCACTGGGTGTTAATTTCATTTCATATCAACAAATGATCTGGGTAGTCAATTTCTTATAACAATGTGTTGCTTCAATCTCTTCAGTGATTTAGGAAAGGACAAAGTTAACAAAAGTTTTAAGGAGGAATGAAACTGCAGAAGCATGTCCAGTGGGAGGGCTGCTTGAGTATGGTGGGTATATTCAATCACTTGGGGCAGATATAGTAATATCTAGTAATAGTGTGTTGTGTCTCAAGGAAGGGCAGGTCGAAAATTCAGTGGTTTAAAAGAGCAATCATTGTTCTGTGGCACAGCTGGGTGCCTCTGCTTTCTGGGTGTCATTTTCTCAGAGAATAGAATAGCTGGAGCATGTTTCTTCCACGACCAAGACACACTCCCAGCCTTCCCAACAAACGGCAATGGTTCTGAATGCGTGGGCTTGAGACTGTCCCATTCCACTGGCACAATCAAGTTAAATGAGAAAGGCCAAAGTCAAATGGTACTGTTCCTGTCCACCTGTGGAAAGGATATGAAATGCTCTTGATACAGAGAAGTGAGGCATGTAGGAGGCATTCTGTCAACCACGGGAATCATATCAGCTGAGGCTAACTAAAGGAACTCCAATGGGATCTTCTTTTCCAGGTGGAATTGGGTGTGTCTGTTGTCTTCTCTGGTTTCCTCTTGCTTATGATGACCCTGAGCATCATCCCTTTATCAGTGCTGATGAGAAGAGATACATCACATGTTCACTGGCTCATCAGGTACAATGGACACTCTTTCCATTTCCCTTGTCTCTGTATCTGTTCTTCTCAGTGAGGAGTGACTTTGAATGGCACTAGTATCTCTAATGGAGGGATCTTGATCTGTGCTTTCTTTCAGGATAACTCACCAGGCTGGTCTCTTCCCATTAAATCTATGATCAAATCTCTACCACTCTGGGCCATCTTAGTATCCTATATTTGTCAATATTTTACCACTAAAATGATATTGGCATACATGCCAACATACATCAACTCTGTGCTTCAAATCAATGTCAGAGATGTAAGTACTGAGAGGGTTCATTTTGTTCTTCTGTTTATATGGCGAATTATATAGTCCTTCTGATTTCAGTGGACAAAGACCCAGATCTTCACATATGGAATACTGGTATACTTGGATCCTTAATATGATTTCCTATTACTGGGTGAGGATCAACTTGGTGTTCATAGAGTGTTATACTTGTAACATATTTATGCATAAATTTTTTCCTCATTTTGATCAACAATAGGTTACATGTTATTCTGCTGATGGCATAACAATGAAAATTTAACAAAATAATTCTATTTTTGAAAAAAATGGTGCAGAAACATCAACAACATCTACTGAAATTAAGACATTATTAATAGGACAGAGTTCCAAATAGCACACATATAAAGTTATGAGTCACTGAAAAATAAGTGTTTAATTCAAGTTTAATGGAAATATTGCTGCCGTACTGCTTTTTGAGTTCCTCATATCATGATCATGTTTTCTGGTTGGCTGATAGGAACCTTTTAAGTTCTGCTATACAAATGTGGTTTTTTTCTTTAAATCAAATAGTTAATTATTTGAGAGGAAGAGTGACAAAGAGAATGTCTGAAGGGGTGAGGGTTCACTTCCAAAATTACTCTAAACCTGGAACCATATCTAGGTTCCCTGTGCCGTGGCAAGGTACCAAGGACTTGAGCCATCTTTTGCTACATTGGCTTGTTTATTAGCAGGAAGGAGGATCAGAATTAGGGCAGCTGGGATTTTAACAGGCACTGTGATATGGGATGCTGGTGTTGCCAGAAGCAGCTTAATGTGATAGTGACAGTACTAGCTCCAGGTTGGGTACCTATAAAGTGGCAAAGAGTATTTCAGATGTCATTGTTTAATAATGACAAGTGACAAAGCCACTGAGTTACTTCTAGTCCACCCTCACCCTCTGTACTCAAGAAGTAAGCTTGTTCTATTGAAAGCTACTCTGATGATATGTGCTAAGAGACTTGCACAAAGCTGACCCTCTCAGCAGTACTCTGTCTGGAGAGAATGCATGCACAGAAACATGGTTCTGTGCCTTCTCCAAAGAGGATCAGGGCCTAATTCAGCAAGGAAATCAGATTTCCCAACCAGGGGCTCAGTGCAACTGAAGGCCAGAAAAGCCAGGTGACAGGGCTGGGTGACATATATTGTGGAACTTGCTGTGTTAAGAAGTGATTCGTATTTGGTGTGGGACCAGGTAGCAATCCCAAGGTGAAGAAGAGAGGGATGACAGAGGTTAAAAGCTTTGGACTAAATTATATAACCTTTCTGACCTTGGCTATTCATCTGTTGAGTGATGACCTTATAGCAGGTGAGAGAGTACTCCATTTAATTATCTGATTGTATACCATTCAGGTTGACCTTCTTTTCCTTGCAACTTATAAAAAATTTAAAGTTAGAAATTGAACTGGTAATAATTAGATTTAACACTTCAAAACTATATTAAAAAGTAAACTGTTGGGGTTGGTTTTGTTTTGTGGTGGTAAAGGCACAGGCAGCAGTACCTGCATTGTACGTGGGTGCTGGATTTTTTTCGTGGCAGCTCCACTTCCAATCCATCTTCCCGATAATGCCTTGGAAAGCAATGTGGAAAATGGCCCAAGTCCTAGGGCCTCCGCACCATTTGGGAGACCCAGATGAAGATCCAGACTCCAGGTTTAGGCTAGCATGGTTGTGGCTGTTGCAGATAAGTATAAGTTGGTAGTGATCCAGAAAATGGAAGATCTCTGCCTCTATCCCTCCTTCTTGTGTGGCTCTGCTTTTCAAAAAAGTAAATAAATATTTTGTTTAAACAGGAGTTCAAATGTGAAAAACATTACTTCTACTTATGTTTCTAATTGTCATGTTTATCCTGGCCCACTCCATAAATAAATCTTTTAAAATTTACTTTATTCTCGTATAAGAATACAAGCACTCATAAATTGTTACATTTTTCCCAATGTTTTTCTGCATAAAACAGATGACATATATGCTGATATGCCTTATTTATGAAAGCATTCAAAATTGTGTGATCACGTGTTTATGAAAAAGTTATGCTTTGATATAAAAGTGCTTTTACATCAAGTTTAATTTTAGTCATATTTTCCACAAAATATTTGAGTACTTATATACTAGGTTTGTGCCATTAAATGTACACTGGAGATCTTTTCATATAAGTACATGAAAACCTTACTGACAAGGAGTTGGATTATTACCAATCTTTTATCAATGCTACAGTGAAAACCGTGTTCTCTCATCATGCAGTTTTCTGACAATTTCTGTGGAATAAATTGTTGCATACCAGGTTGTTGAGCCAAAAGCCAATGGTTGTATACATTTTTATATTTACATTTATTGAAACCCCCTTCATCTTGAGTGTGTGTGTGTGTGTGTGTGTGTGTGTGTGTGCAGAGAAAGAGAGAGAATATCTGTTCATAAAGCATTTCAGAAATCTTCTAGCTCTTTGCTAGATTGATCCATGGAAGTAATAAATCATAACAGTGTCATTTGCGTGTGTTTTGTTATAAGTAAGGGTGTAATTTTTAATCCTTAGGAGCCATTTCTCAAGTAGTTTATATCCTTTGAGTATTTTTTCTGCTAGATTTTGATCTTTTAAACATCTGTTTCCTACAGAGTTTTGGGTTTTTAGACACGATAACATTATTTTTTGCAAGGTGAGCTATATGCCTGTATTTTCCCAGGCATTCATGTAATCTTGTGGTTTCCTTTAGCATGGAACTTTACGTAGAAAAATGATCTTTATATAAAGAAAGCTACAGATGCAATCAGCCCTTCAGAAGTTAGTCTGTGTCATGCTGGGCAGTGTGGGCATACACATTCACCTCGTCTATTGTCCTCAGAGTGGGATCCTGTCGTCACTGCCATTTATTGCTACCTGGATCACTATGATGCTTGGAGGCCTCTTGGCTGATTTTCTCCTCTCCAGAAAAATTTTCAGACTTGTCACCATCAGGAAAATCTTTAATGCTATAGGTAAGGCGCAAGTTGGATACAGGGTAGATGCGAGAAACTGAAGCAGTATCCAATTCACTCTATATGTCTTTCCATCCCAGGGATTCTTGGCTCATCTGCACTCTTCATTCCTCTGCACTGGGTCAGATTCAGCCGGAGTACCACTATAGTCTTCTTGGTGTTAGCTACTGCCTTCACTGGCTTCAATCAATCAGGAGCCCTTGTGAACTTCATAGACGTTGCTCCTCGGTAGGTACCCATTGTTTTATTCCTACAGCTCAGTGCAGGTCCAGCAATGTTATATCTGGCAATCAGGTAACTTGAGACATGTATTACATGTCACAGGAAATATGAACTCTTGTCCCATTCACAAATAAATCCTGCAAAGGACCTGGAGCTCTTTGGTTATGGTGAAGCTTGCATTTTCAAGTGCAGAAGAGAAGCTGGCAACTATGTTCATACTCAACTGGTGGATACATACACATCTCTAATAGGAAATTAGCAGTCACACAGGACTAGGGGATGCAGAATGAAGTCATGAGAGGCCACAGGTTTCGTCACGTAAGGCTTTAGTGAAGGGCAAAGACACAGAATCCTGACAGAAATAGTTACATCTGCTCTACAAGTGGTACTCTACCAGTACCACTGGATACACACACACAGTAGAGTATGACTTCCAACTGTTGCTCCAGGGTTCTGGTCCTGTAAAGTCTAACCAGGCATACCTCATCTTAGGAATGGAACCACTAAGACACGTAAAGCGAGGCTTTCATCTCAAAAAATAATTTCTCAAGCAACAGCAGTTTCTTTATGTCACCAAACAAGGCTACAAAGGCATGTTCAATTGCAGTAACCTCGCAAATGTACAAACCAGGTACAAACCATCATCTTTCTGAGCAATAAACAAAATTGACCAGTTAGTGCAGAATATCCTTTGGAAGTCTTGCATTCTAGCATGGGATTAAATTGTGCCCTAGTCTGTACAATTTGTTCAGGTTCAATCAAGGGTCAGCACAATTAAAGGCAATCAGAAATAGACATTAAGATCCAACAGAGAAGTCAAGAATAATTCTTTTCTTACTTGGGAATGTCCCTCTTTTCCCTCCTCACCATCAGGTACACCAGCTTTCTCAAGGGATTCTTTCAAATGTTTGTGTTCATAGATGGAGCCATTGCTCCCACCATTGGTGGAATTTTAATCAATCAGGTGAGTTGATATTCTGATGAATATTCATAAGAGAAACCTGTAGAAATCACTCACTAGAAGTCAGATTAAGAGTAGTTTTGTTATCCCTTTGATGTGTTTCAAGTCCAAAGTCAAGAATTTTGGACACCTGACATGTACTCATTTCTTCCATTTACTCCACTTAGGGAAACTGTCACATGCTCTTGTTGTGGGGTGAAGGCCAGTGCTCAGTGTTCTGGGTCTGCTTTCTGAGTCCTTATAGGATGAGGTTCTCATGCTAAACACTAACACTACAGCAGAATTCATGCCATTTTACCTATAGAGTGGGCTACCATATTGGTGTGCTTGTGATGTCTCAGGATTTAGACTTTGAAAGTGCTGATTTTTCTGTTAAATGACTAACTTACTCTATTGAGGATCCCATAATTATTTCCTGAATAAATAAGCCAAGGGTCACAAGTGGTTGGTATAGAAACTCTTCTGAACAGCGTCTTTTCATATTGGTAGTCTTCCAACCTTGAACATGTATTTAACATAGTCAAAATTAAAAACTCATTTGAAGACTTGAACATTTTCTATGTACCTTACACACAAACACACATACAGAGTTGAAGAAAAATATATATTACAATCAAACACTGTTGTTAAACTTTACTGTAGTTTCCCACAAGTAAATCAGCAAAGTGAATGTGTGTTAGCAAAGAACAGGTATTTTTGAAAATGTAGAGTGTGATTTCCAACTGTTACTCAAAAGTATTTATTTTATGTATTTGAAATAAGAGACATGGAGAGAAATGGAGAGAGAGAAATAGATAAAGAGAAAGATAGAGAGGGAGAAATAAGACAAAATTTCCGTCATTGCTTCCCTCCACAATTGCCTCTAACAGCCTCAGTTGGGCAGTCCAAAAGCCAAGATCCAGGAACTCCACCTGGGTGTTCTTTGTGGATGGCAGAGATCTAAACATTCCAGTAACTGCCTGTTGCATCACAAGGTGTGCATTAGCAGGAAGCTGGAAATAGGAGCAGAACCAACTCAAACCCAGGCTTATGATGTATGATGTAGGCATCTAAAGTTTTCCATTGATAAACATATTGACAGAAAATTGTAGTTTGAAACAAAAGTTCTCAAACTGATTTTTTTAACTTGTTAATCCATTCATTTTGAATTCATTCATTCATGTAATAGTTTTGTACACAGTTTCACTAAATAAGGAAAGCCAAAGTTCCTTCTTTATCAATGATAAGAGAAAATGAGTACAGGACACATCACATGGAGGAATTCCTATTTGAATGAGGTGATAAATGAAGATTTCAAGTGAAAATAACAAGAATAAACAAAGGCTGGAAAGAATTGAGGAAGGTTGGGGGATGAGTGTCTTAGCTGGGAACATTCCAGCTGAGGGAACAGCCAGAACACAGGCCTCGTTACACAAAGGTATTGGCTGGCATATTCCAAGGGCAACCAGGAAGACACTCAGATCCCATCTGACTTGGGGGATGGACAGTAGACTCTGAAGCCACAGCCTCTGTGAACCAAGAGGGATGGGAATTTGATGACTGTTAATAACTTGCAGTTTCCTGCCTCCAGGATTCAGTATTGGGTTGGAGAAACATCTTCCTCATTGTATCTTCCGTTAACACATTTGGCTTGATTGTCTACCTCATCCTTGGCCAAGCACATGAGCAGGACTGGGCTAAAGAAGAGACAGTCACTCACTTGTGAGAAAACTAGGTGTGCAAGATGACCATGGCACTTTGTTCTTCCTGCACATACTTCCCTTGTGTGTCTTCTCCACTGATTCACCTAACTGGAACTGAAATACTTTCTACTGGTTTCTAAGAGACCTTGGTGATGTCATATGGGAGATTCATGATGTGCAGAGATTTCTCCAAGAGGAGAAAAGTTTGGTTCAGTAAGCTTCTCTCTGAATTTCTGTGAGGACTAAATATTTTTACTGTCATTTTTTTTGGAAACCTCACGGGTTGGAGGACATTTTCTGAGCAAAGCAGAGGTGAAAGATAAAATCATGACAGTGAGGAATGAAAATCCCAAGGAGAGAGAGTCCAAAGCTCCAGAAGATGAACCCTGAGAGTTGAGATCAGAAGAAAATCTAGAACGTCAAGATCCATCATGATTTCAAGAGGCCAGAGAAGGTGAAGTTACATTACATCGAGTGAGATGTGATACAGGGAGAGTTGGCAAAGGGAGAGGGATTACCTACATGAAGAATGATAAATCAACTAGTCATAACAAGCAGAAAATACCTTCCTACAGGTAATGTAGGAACAGGACTGGGCATAAGCTCTTCCAGATCACTGGTTCCTTGTGTCCTGGTTGTGTGACTGAATCACCTCTCCAATGCCTGTGCTGCACAGCAATTCTTCAGCATCAACTCCCTCAGTCTTTCTTTCTGGCCATATCAACCCAGTCCCACACCTTTCTTGTGGATATGGGCATGCATATCATCTGCATCTTTATGAATGAGCCCTTCCCTGTTTCTCTCTCTTCTCCTTCATGCTGTCATTTCCAACTTGCATGCCCTTGTCTGCGCCTTTGACTTGTAATTCTACTTTCCATTCAATCGGCTTCATTCAAAGTTCATCTAATTCACCTAAAATGTCTTAAACAAATGCAAGACATGCAATGGTTTGAACTTGTTCCAAATGTCTGAATAGTGTTCCTGGAGTGTTTGCTTATATTGAATTCCTATACAAGTAGCATGGAACAATGGCAGAGGGTAAAAGTATTCAAACACCAAATGAATGAACACATACCATTGTGAAAGAGTAGATACCAAATTCATCAACAGCCTGAAGGAATTGAAAGCCTCAAGAGAACATGTGACTTTAATAAAAAAAATCATACAGGTGAACGTGCAATTTCAATTATATTAAATGGAGTGATGAGGTGCTTTTGGCTAGGGAGTGAATGGAAAGGTTTGCTAATAGAAAATGAAGGAAGATCATTCCCCCATGGGGGTTAAGATCTGAGGAATGATACTCACCTGGTCAGGAGGTTGATGGCAAGAACATCCTAGGAAGAGGGAGTAGTAGAGCCAAAGGTTTGCTGTATCTCGTGAGCTGTGAATATCACTTGAGTTAGGATCTGAAAAACAATACTCACCTGGTGCAGGAGGCTGATGGACACTTCATTCTAGGAAGAGGGAGTAGCATAGTCAAAGGTTTGCTGGCAGAAAAGAGTACCAGCTGTGGCCAGAGCACAGAGTAAGGAAGTATGGTTGATGAGGAGGCTATAGAACTATTAAGATCGAGAGAGAAAGGAGGCCACAAAGTGAAGTGCATTGGCTTTTATCTTTGAACCAGAGCAGTGTTTAGTGGGAAAAGACAAAGTTGGTGCTCTGTGTTTCTAAGTTGCTCTGCGTGAGGCAATAGTGTAGAGTAAGAGTTCATGTGTGTTGCAGGAGAGGGACAGCCCCTGCAATGAGACAGTGCACTTGATGAGACAGAGTAAACAGACTGTTGAATCTGAGAGATAAGCTTGACAAGGTCCAGCACTGAGATAGTAGAAATTGTCCTAACTGACTCCTGTATTCAGTCTTGCTATGTGCCCAATGTTAAAAATTTTATTAGATTTTTATATTCAAGTTATATATAACATACGTACAAATAGACAATTTTTATATTTTCAGTGGAAACAGCCATAACATTGCTTATTTACAATTTAAATTGCTTGTACATGTTAGTGGAATATAAATATTCTTTGAGCATAGACAGTTAAATGCGTATAATCTAGAGAGGGAAATTGTTTTCCAATATCATCAGCAGCTGAGAGAAAATTCAACATCTTACAAAATGTCATGCTCTGAGTGTACACAGTCCACATGAGGAATAAGCCTGTCTTTCCCTTTGTGATATGGTGTGCTTTTAGCAAACTCCTTCATAGAAATCAGTGGTGATTGATTCTATAGCAGTATCTTTTATGTCCTATTCAGAGCATGAGTAGAGTTTCACCCCACACATTTTGCAGGCTCCCTAAGTGCACTGATGGCCGCCTGTTGACTTGCGATTCACTTACCTTATGCTGAGTCAGCCAAGATAAAACTCCTGAGCAGGAGTTTTAATCCTGATGAAACCTTTGTGTCTGAGTTTCAACTGCTCTTACTTCCTTTGTGTTTAGAGTCTTGGTTTCTTTGCCTGGAGGACCTCCTTGTTTCTCTTGCTAACCTCTCTCTAGTCCAGGCCCCTACTTCCCCGTGCACTATCCCAAGTCCTTGTAAGGAATGATGATATCAGATTGCTACAGGCTCCATGTAGGACATCAAGCAGGTTGCTAACTTGGTGAGGATTAAAGCTCAGATATGAATATTTCTCGTAACCTGCTCTGCATTAAGAAGCTTGAGGACTCTTAGACATCGCAAATGTGGTTGAGATCTGGAGCACAAATTCTGAACTAATCCACTGTCTGCATTTGTCAGAAAGAGGCCGTTTTTTAGCCATGGGTATTTCTCTATGAGTCCCATGAAATTAACCTATATGAATAAACATTGGCTAAAGTCTTAAATGCAGCTACAAGGCAGTCCTGTGTTACTGATGGAAGAAATGGGACAAAGACACCTTGGATCTTCCATTTCTTTGAGGCTGTGGCTCCCATCACTGCGAACAGAGGATAAATGTGCAGATCTGTTACAAAGAGCTTCCCAGGAGACGTGCTTTCATGGGGGAGTCCGGGTGTGCCTGACCCCTATTGGTGACATGTTTTGATGTTACTCTTAAGGTTTTTATTTTGGAGACATAAAGACACAAGAGTCAGGGGAGGTGGCAGCTTCAGGGCTGAAAGCAAAGTGTAGTGAAGTTGTGAGAGAGGTGCTGTGGAAGGAACCTGGCAAGGTGAGGCCTCCCAGAGAAAAGCTACAAGTGGTATGGCAGGTGAGCCTAAAGAAACACTGGTAGAGAGGGAAGCAAGGAAGACTGCCACTTAGGAGATTCTGGAAATGGCTCTAAAAGCCTAGCCTCTAGAGCGACGACTGCTCAAAGCTGTTTTTAGGATGAGGCTGGTGGCTGAGGCTACCTGCCAGTATAACTCTTCTAAGACGTTATATGAGAAGCTCTTCCTCAACACATGCATCCTCTTTGACTCTCAGAACCAAGTAAAACTAGCAATTCAGGTGAGGTGCAGAAGGCTCTGAAAGCGTGTGGCCACAAAGTTCTCCTGGTGCTAGATTCAAAAAACATGAGCCAGCCAAACTCCTTAGTTCTAGCTATGCCCTTTTTTTAAAAAAAAAAAGATTTTATTTAATTTTATTGGAAAGTCAGATTTATAGAAATAATGAGACACAGAGAGAAAGATCTTCCATCTGCTGGCCACAGTGGCCGGAGCTGCACTAAACTGTGGCCAGGAGACAGGAGCTTCTTGTGGGTCTCTCATGTGCCTGCAGGATCCCAAGGCTTGAGCTTGCTTTCCCAGGCCACAAATAGGGAGCTTGAAGGGAAGTGGAACAGCTGGGATTAGAACTGGTCTCCAAATGGGATTCAGCACAGGCAAGGTGAGGGCTGTTACCACTAGACTATCACATTGGGTCCTAGCTCTGGTTTCTTAAAACAAAACAAAACATAGTATTGAGTAACCAATGTATTAAAAAAAAAATCCAAGTTCTTAACCATATCCTGTGACCACTTCATTGACATTTCAATTCTAGTTTATATACAACCGGGTTCTATACATCTTAAAATGGCCATAGATTAATACTCTATGCTATGTCAATTAATTCCATAACATTATAAATTGTTGCTGATATTATGTTGGGGCTTTTAATTGATCGGGATGATACTCTGCTGGCTCTAGCTTCAGACCAGAGATGGTCTCCCCAAGAAGCCGTTGAATTGATCTGGACGATAAAATGCTGGTCTCTATGCTTGGTATATGCTTGCAATGAAAGAACCTCAACTGAACTTGAACTGTGGCAATGCAACAAGGTGGGGGAATCCACCATGGGGGTAGGGTTTGGGGTAGAATGGGGATGGGATGGGGGGAATCCCAGTGCCTATAAAACTGTGTCATATAATGCAATGTAATTTATAAAAACCAAACAAACAAAAATAAACAACAAATTTTGGTGAGAAAGATCCTCCTCTGAAAATTTCATTCTGAATGGAGAATTCCCTATTAGAATCCAATTGTTTCACATAAAAGTGATCTTCATCTAGGCATTGCAAGTATTGCCAAAATTGTTGCTGAACCTTTAAACTTTGTACTTCCATAATCAGCTTATTTTTCTTTCCCTCACTAGGAAAGGATGACATTTTGAAACAGCATGAAGATGTTATAAATGATAGACCCTTCTTTGTTGACCTTTTGTAAAGATTAAATGATGGAATACTCTGAGGGGGCAATATGGTGTGGGAGGGAGATAGCCAGTGCTGAGCAGATTGCCCTCCCCTGTTCTGTAATCCCTATGTAAAGGCAAATTGGAACCCCAAATCCATTTGGCCTTCATGAAGTATAGACAAAATTTGTTCTTTTCAGCTCTGCTGGCTATTGGACCAGGTAAGAATACATTCAGGTTTACATGCAACCATGTTGCTTCTCCCTCCTTGGACCTTTGGGCAGGATCTTAATACACTACCAGGCTGTAACCCTTCAAGATCTAAGTACTTGTGGTAAAGAAATACACTGCCATTACCCTGGTTGCACACTGATTTGAAAAGTAACCATGGTAATTTCCCTTTGGCAATTCAGAATTCTACCATAGTGTCTTGCTTAAA